ACTACTAACTCCTACTCCTACTCCTACTCCTACTCCTACTCCTACTCCTACTCCTACTCCTACTCCTACTCCTACTCCTACTCCTCCTGCTGCTACTACTATTATAACTACTACTACAAAGACTAAGAACATTAGTGTTCATATTAATAATCACAATAAAAGTAATAACCATATAGAACCTAGACATATGACTATATCTATAAATATATAGACATATGCATTGTCTAGATGCGTAGTCAAATATTAACTGACTGTGTCATGTTATGCTATGTTATGTTATTAGGTATGCTACGCTAAGATATGTATGAGAAATTATTTCGTAGTGTATTATACTGTAATAGATGTTGAATCTTAAAAGTACCTTCTATAACTTCTTTATAAAACATATATACATATATGTATATACACGTACAGACGCACGCCTTGATTACTGTTTATCATAATATGTTTTTATCGTTTTATAGTATAAACAGTTATACTGTACCAGATCATATTATACTGAGTTTTATTATACCATGTTGCATTAGATCGCGCCGTGCGTCATCCTGGGCCTAGTGCTGTGCCTGCTGCTGTGTTGCGCAAAATCATAACATCAGTCGTCAGCGGCGATCGCACTGTCGTCTTACATTGACTCTATGTACAACCAGCATGACGCAGTTTGGAGTGCAGTAATGCCGACCGACAAGAGTAGCAAGAGCTCAAGGAGTTGCGCGCAAGATAGATGCATCAGTGGCATAATTATGTAGGCAGGCTACTGGATGTATCGGTTTAAAGGATTCTTGACGGATTCGTGGCCTTGGTTTTGTGCCTTTCATCTTTGTCCTAGTTGTCTAGTCCTCAGCTTCAAGCGTTTGAGTCGGCTAGCAGCAGAATTATATAGATCCCTCACAGTACCTCTTATAGTGGCCCCGAATCCCCCCTTGCAGCAACCTTAACGTTCGCTCCTTCGCACCTTGTGAGGCACTTCACAAGCATGAAAGTCGCAGGCGGAGTCGTTGATATCCAGGCGAGCACCATCCCTGCTTACGGGTTGAGGGCGGAAAGTTTAGGATTTGGGGCTGCAGAGTCATCAGCATCTATAACGTTTTGGAATGAGGACTCAGGGTCTAGTACGCTTAGATGTCTTCATGGGCAGAAACGCTGGCAGTCCGCTAGCTCGGCTAATTCCCCTGGGTCGGTCGAGACGCGCTGCACAGAATCGCAGTGTTCATCTGCAGTGCTCTGCCCTGAAGAATTCCTCGGCCATGGAATCCGGCGGTGCGATCCACGTGAACTTACTCTTCTCGCAGTCGGGAGGGCGTGACTTGATCCTGCACTTAACCCTAGCCCTCCAGGTACCTACTGTACTAGAGCCCCAAGGGCCCTATGTAGTAGCTACCTGGAGGGTTAGGGTCAGTTTACTTCAGTCTCATGGCTGGCCGGTTTCTGCACATGCGCCCGTGTGCGTGTGGGCAGGCGTACATCGTACGTACACTTGCACGCACAGGCGCAGACCATTCTTTAAGTAGAATCACTACTATAACATATATATATATATATATATGTATACACACACACACGCACACATAGTTTGTACAGTTGCATCACCGACATGCGCACATACATGCCTAATGCAAACGCACATCGAGGGATTAGCCACGACCCAGCTGGGCCACAGTTTGCTAGCTTTTGCGTGACCATTAATGTCAGATACTACACTTTCGGTGAAGCACATGACACCCGGCTGATGTGTGTTTACATATGTATAATATCTGTACATATGTATATATATATATATACACATGTAAATATTGACGTTTATCTATTCACTATCGTGTATGCCTATTCACATTTTAATTTTGTATTGTGTTGTTCTCGTTTAGTTCATTTACACCCATGTTTGTATATGTGAACGCACGTTTGTTCATTCATGTTGCATGCCGTTCACCTGTTTGCTGTTTTGTTTGTTTGTTTGATTGGTTGCTTGCTTGATAGATTGCGTGTTTGTTTTTGTTTTGTTTGTGTGCTTGCGTACGTGTTTCCTTGTTCCTGCTTGCCTGCTTGCTTGCTTGCTGGCTTGCTTGCTTGTTTGATAGTTTCATGTACTTGTTTCACGATGGTTCATACATGTTAGATTCGAGTGTAACGATAAACACCACTGGATGTACACTCAGAAATAATCAAGCACTCGCACACACACTTCTACATGTATAACTATGTACACATACAAATATATATATATATATACATATATATATATATACATATATATATATATACATTTATGTNNCCCCCCCCCCCCCCCCCCAAATCCTCCGTCTCATATGTGCCCTGTGAGCCGCCGCAACTTAGCCCCCAGTCCAATCTTGTTGTGTTTATCTATATATCTAGTTGTATATATACCTGTGTCTTCAACGCCCCTTCTAATTTTAGGCCCAACGGTGAAATCTGGAAATGTTACCAACAGGGCTGATCTTGTTAATAGGGCTGAAGTGTGGGGTGCGATGAGAATAGGCTTGATTACCGACTTGGTGCCTGTGTCTTGGCTCACTAGATCCTTGTGGGCCAGCTTTTGTGGTCCTTGCTGCCGGTGCGCCCGCCCCGCCTTTGCTATTTGCAGAGATTTGCACGATGATGTGCGGTTGAGCCGTTTAGAAGCAGCTACCTGGAACATTGCTGTTGGCTCGAGATGCCTTTTGCAGGGGACTCTTTTGTGACCCCCCTGATACTGGATCCATCATGTCGGTGACGACCAGCCTTTTTCACAAGGCATACCATGCAGGCACTTGTTGGTCATACGTCAGTAACCACAGCAACCATCGTATATTTCGTTTGGGTCAGGTCTCATGGAGCTCCCGGATGCTTTCTGGCAGCAGGCTCGGCATGTGCTATTCCCGGAGAAGTCCGAGGCACTTTGGCAGATATAAGAAGACACCTTTGACCTTCAATTCTTGTCAGCCCAATCTCCAATACTATCCAAGCATAGGTCACGACAATGACCGATGTGGAGTTCAGCTGCATCCTGGACAACTACTTCCGGAAGGGAGCTACATGGATCTTGCATCGGGCATACCTCAGCCATCGTAACTCAGCTGCTTAGACTCGCTGCCAATATTGTCTTGCGATTGATGCGAAAGAACTGCCTGCAATTAGGCAGTGGTGGATTTAAGAACTTCGACTCCCAGTGAAAATCCATCCATAGGGTTTAAGTTCTGAGCTGCACCGGGCGAGTATGCGAGAGTCATGCTAACAGTGCGGCTGCACGGGACAAGTGTGCGACCATCAGGGGAAAAATGCTTGGCACCGAGTTTCATGACGCCTATGACCGACTTGAATAAACTTTAAACCTTACATAAGCCCATGCAGGCTCACGCTTTTGTGGCCTCCACTTCGCTTCGCTTGCTCCTCGACCGCCTTTGTAGGTGCGGGTGAACCTGAACCTCGTTTGTGAGCCGTGGATATATGTTCGTCTCTCTGTAGGCGGCCCTTGACTTTGCTTCGGGACTGGTGTGGTCCGGCTTGGCAACAAAGGCTGGGGTGAACACGATCATGGTATGTCCGTATCATTACATAAGCTCTTTTCGCTTGTGCTGATCTTTGGCTTCGCTGTGGAAAGGGAGTGGTCCAGCTTCAGAAAAGGACGGGGTGAGCACGACACAAAATACGCCCCTAGAAACACAGAAACCCTTCATCATCATGCAGGTGCCCCTTGACTTCGCTTCGGGACTGGTGTGGTCCAGCTTCGCAACAAGGACGGGGTCAAAGTCACACCATAGGTGTGTCGCTGGAGTTAAAAATTCTTCACCGTCCTGCAGGTGACCCTTGACTTCGCTTCGGTACGGT